ACGTAGGTTTTGCCGCCCAGGAAAACTGACCTCGAAGTGTTGGAGCAGGAGGCAGCTGCCGAAGAGCTCGGGTTGTCAATAGAGCTCACATCATCAGTAGCATCAATAGCCGGTTCGTGGTCTCTTGTTTCTCTCGGGGTCCTTCCACTGGCGTCCCCAATCGTCCGAGTCGTCTTCTTCTTTGCCTCGCCCCAAGTCACCGGAACTTTTCGTTGAGGCGTCTGTTTTCTTGCTGCTGTAGTTCCCGACATCGAATTGGCTGTATACTATCCCCAAGCTTTGATTGTGCCTCGAATGAACACGGAATTGTAATGATGAAAGGTTAAGCGCAAAAAAAAGGGCTGCATGAATCTTTGCCAAAGTGCTGTCTAACGTTGTTGTTACAGGCTGACAGAATCCAGGCTTCTGGTTTGTTGATGCCGCCTTTTGCCCGATTGAAAGATCTCCTCAAATGTTGTTGCATTGAAACAATGACATGTCAGGTAGCAAATTATTCTCAATTGGAAATTGTCTGAAATGTAATGCAGGTGTCACAAGATCACCAGCCTTTCTCGGGCAGAGCAAATAGAGCAAGTAGATTGCTTGCTGTGCTTTCCGGAGATCCTGGCCCTGCTCCTCGAGACACAATTCCTCAGGGAGATGCTGGAGGGCCACACTCGACATAGCACAACTTGAGCCAGAACTGCAGCATTAGGTTACAAGGGGCTCACAATCAATCACCAAGCAAGCTGACACACACACACACACACACACACACACACACTCACTGAGCCTTCCGCGCAAATATCACTCACATGCCTTCTGAAACATGCCAGGCAGACCTTGCCATTGATGCTACCACAATAGTTATACTACCGCAAATCATGCTACCACAATTAGCGCTACCACAATTGTTGCTACCACAATTGACAAATTGATGCTACCAGAACTGATGCTACCAGAATTGATGCCACTGCAAAATCGAATCAACCAAGCCAAGCAATGCCATGCTGACTACCACAGTTGCTGCTACCAGAACTGATGGTATCAGAATTGATGCCACCGCAAAATCGAATCAGATGCCACCGCAACAATCGAAGCAATCAAGCCATGCAATGCCATGCTGACTACCACCATTGACATTGATTGATGCTACCAGAATTGATGCCACTGCAGCATCGAATCAACCAAGCCAAGCAATGCCATGCTGACTACCACAATTGATTGATGCTACCAGAATTGATGCCACTGCAGAATCGAATCAACCAAGCCAAGCAATGCCATGCCGACACAGTAACGGCCTCCCCAGCGTCTTTGCAAACACGAGTGTGCTCTGACAGTCATGCGGACTGGAGACTTCTTTAAATGCCACCCCCATTCGGCCAAGATGGGGTCACCCTGCTGAGTATGCGCCGGCAAATCAGGGCCTTGGACGTCGTGCTTGCCTTCTTTGCCCTATGCGGAGCGCTGAAATCCAATTGCCTTGCATACCGGCCCGCAAGAGGACAGGTCATGCTCGTCATCGAGTGCACCGGAATCGCTGCGCGACGCGCCGGTTACTGAAGACCTGTCAATGAGGCACAGCATAAGATGCCATGCGGGGCCATGCCGGCAAGCAGCAGTGATCGAAGTTAATATTTCGACCGTGGTGTGGGTACGTGGCATAGTATTTATTAATAGTAGCGAGGCCTTCCCTGCAATCTGTGTGCATTTCACCCCGCGGCGGACACACCACCTGGCTGGACAGGCGAGCAGCACACAGAGTAAATCCCCAGCGCCCGGCCAGCGACGCTGTCCCGCACGGATCAAGGACCCATTGCTCACGTGGTCCGAGCCCGACTGGAGCGGTCTCTAAGACCACTCTGAGCTGGGGCGTGCAGGATGGGTAGGGCGAGTCGAACCAAGCCAAGCAAGCCAAGCAAGCCAAGCAAGCCAACCAAGCAACCAAGCCAACCAAGCAGTGGCACGTGACAAAGGACCACGTTTCAGCTTCCAACACATCCGGCTTGGACAGAAGCGAACACCATCGCTCAATACATCCGGCTTGGACAAATGCAAAAATGTTTGGCAAAAAAGGGTTTCCTCACGCTGGCTTCCCAGTGTGCTTTAAAATGTTTTGGTCAACGGCCGTGCCCCCGGCACTGAAATTCCTAATAAAATACATAAATAAGCTAATACTACAACAGCTTGAAACCTTAAATCGGTATATTGAACTGCACTATTGAGGAAATTGGTTTTGGCCTTCAAACCCCCCTGATCCAGCCCCCAGGATCCAACCCTCAAAACGAGTGTGTGGATACATTGCGGCTACATGCTGCCAGATAGACACCGACGAGACGATCCCCGGTGATCCGGATAGCCAGATCGTCTACGTCAACAAGGGCGACCCATCATCTGTTGGGACCCGGATATCCCATCGACCTCCAGGGAGCGAGGGGAGAAAGGGATTCGTCTGAGTTACCTTCTCCTCTCGGTCGGATACTGGGAATGGAGACGGAGTACTCCTCCTACAGGCCCAGAAGAACTGTGAGCTACAGCTCCAGTGGATACGGAGAGACATCAACCAGCTAGCGGACGACCTCACCAACGAGGAATTCAAGGAGTTCGACCCCGACCAGAGGATAGATCTGAAGGGGGAGGAATTCCAGTGCCGCGTCCTAGGCCGGCTACTCGCGCATGCAGATAATCTGCAGATAGCTTCTACAAGGAGCTAGGCACGCGGAAGCGAGGGACCCCGGATAGGTTGTCGAAGTTTAGCCGTAAGGCCCGGAAGCTAGATCCCTGCTATGTGTGCTAGTTTACCTATTTCCACTCGAAGCTATTGAAGGTAGCTTCGCAAGAAACGAAGTTTCGTTCCCTATCGTCGCTCGCAGGAGGGTTGCCTCTGACATGCAAAGACAGGATAGCTGTGACTTGGAATGGCTACGAATGCGTTTGACCGTTGCCATTCTGGATACAGTCCCCTCTTCAGGGGGGGTAATTTTGAAGTACCCACCCTGCCCACCCTGGGGATAGATAGCCGAAGGCTATCGAACATCTCCAGACAACCTGGGATAGTTGCCACTTCCGACAAAAGTGCGTCCGTGCTAGCTGAGTGTGTTTGTCCTGTTTGGTTGTCGCTCGGCTAGCTCGCAAGCTAACTACTTACTACTGCTATCGTCCCGGAGGAGTTCTGGGGATGGTGGTGGGCCGGGATATAGGAGCTAGTGCACGGAATGGCGAAGATGCGAGGCATCCACACACATGCCATTTTGGCGTGTCAATCCGTGCAATCAATGACCAACATCGAAGTCGCAACCGTGGAGCGGTTGAAGAGTCTTGAGGGGCAGGCTGTTACCGCCCGATGCATTTAGGCATCTAAATACCGTATCGCCTTGAACTTGTATGCGAAGCTTATCTTGAGTCTTGGAAGGGGGTCCTTTAGGTCAGTCAAGCAGTTGCTTCACAGGCAGCCCATGCCTGGAGAGGCAACAGTAACTTGTGTAGCTACGTGTACAGGGTAGCTGAAGCGCCAAAGACCTTTACGGCAGAGCGCCAACCAGTCGACGAAACGTTTGAAGCTGTAGGAGTTCGTGGAGCTTGTAAACACTTTGTCGTGTCGTACTGAGGGGCAGCAACAAACTTTGATAAAGAGCATTCGCGAAGTCGTTTGCTCTTTAGGCGGGGTGCTAAAGTTTGTACCCACACGTGCAACATTTGTATGTTGCCGTACTGAACTACTGAACGTATTCTCTGTTTTGCTCCACTGTAGCTTTGAGCCCAATACGGAATTTGCGACTCCGCAGGCGTATGAATCAGTGGAAAAGTTTAGCATAAGGACCACCTACGGCCGGCTGGTCTGGGCCGCTAAAGATAGCATCGTGGAGAAGCTTTCGGAAGGGGCGCCCCTCACCAAGAGGGCGCCGCGCTACCCGGTCTAAATGCTGGTACAGAAAGAGCTGATGGTGGTGAACACCGCCCTGGCGGTCGGCTGGCGCGTCTGGGCCTGGGCTGGTCAAGGTGTGGGCCACGCTAAGGTGGTCAGACCTCCAAGCTATCCTGCCAGCCGAGCTCACCATGGTGGAGGGACGCCTCGCTATACCATCCTCGGGAAGACGAAGACGTCGGGAGCTACGAGGTGGATCAAGGAGCTACCTGTCGTGGTGTCGGGCCATGCCGTTCTGGTGACCGACGCCTGGCTCGCTACGGGTCTCGACCTTCTCAAGGCGCACGCCGGCTATGCCCGAGACTACCTCATGCCCCGGCTGGGTAGGGGAGGGCAGCTAGAGAGGAAGATCGCTACCTATGCCGACGTCGCCACGGCTGGTTTGCTGGCAATCATGGGCTACCCGACGGAGGTCCAGGGCTACTGGACTCGGTGCTACCCACTGGTTTGGCGCTACAGGAGATCCCTCCGCAAGACAAGGACTTGCTATAGGACGTTGGAAACCCGAGGGGTCCGACGTGCACGCTAGGTCCTTTGGGGGAAGGGTTTCCCGTCTCCAAGCCCTTTTCGCTAAAACGGCTAGAGGGCAGGATCACTACGATGCGCTAGATGAGCGTGAGATTGCTGCCGACCTGGAACCTTGGCTAGAGGAGAGGGCCAAGCTCACCCACCTCGAGGCCAAGAGCATGGCAGGTGCATAAAATTCCAACTCTCCTCATATGTTCCTGTCTAGACCCTTTACAAATTCGGTTCTGCAAAAAACTTCCTATTTGTCTCCGCTAGTGTTTTTTTCCCATGCTTCATCGTTTTTATATATTGACAGTACGGTTGAGCCAACCAATATTTTTTCTTTCAAACGAGGCGGGGCCCGAAGGTACATTCCATTTCGACCACGTTTAGGCAAAATCATTTGTGTAGCCCATATAGATATAGCGGTTAATATATCGCTTGATTTTTGCACGGGAGGGAAGCTTTTAAGTGTGTGGCCGCAAGCGCGATCGTAAAATCCACAGCATAGATCATAGATGGGAGCGATGGGTTGAGTCAGAGGGTTGTGGAAACGCGCCCATCACTTCTTGCTGCAACGGCGACTTGGATGTTTTGTGGCCTTTTAACCCGGCTGGACGCGAGGAGCTGCCTGCGGAGACATTTTTTCGGGAGGCCGTGGGCCAAAAGCCTTGTGCTCTCTGCTCTCTGGCTCGGCTTCTTCCAGGGCCCGAAGGTGGTCCGCGAGGAAGACGGGCCGCGGGCTAAGCATGGAAAGGGGGCGATGCAGCAGAGTTGCTGCGGGAGCTGCGAGGCTGGAGCTCGGCAACGTCTACGAGTTCCAAGTCCGCGTCGGTGACGTCTGCCGCATGGGACCTTGGTCCTTTGCTCAACGGCGCCATGCGAAGCCCTTGACCTCCCACGAGCATCAAGAGCCAAACTTATGTCACCAGCTTCGCATTGGTCACTATCTCTACTAATTACATAACTGGCAGCGGCAACGCGCACGCACACTTGGAATGACCCCCGATATGACCAGAGCATAACATGGTTTAACAAGTTAACATCTCTTCTGCACTTTTTTCTCTTCCTTTCTTCATGTGTATCACTTCGGTCACATCCGACTTGTACTCAGCTCGAAAAGCTTCCCTTGGCATCTCATCTTCTTTTTGGCCAGTACGGTAAAAACACTGTTTTAGGGTACACTGGGGCGGCCTTTTGCAAGTATGTGGATTGAGCGTCCTCGAGCCGTATCACATCCAATCAGCACCGTCTTTGTTGATGCACAAACCTTCCTATGAGCCCTGTAAGCCTTGAATTTCGACAGCATGCGCAGGTCTTCGGTTCAAAGCTTTGGTTGTCGTGAATGCGCGGTTGGATGGCCCAGGGGCATGTTTTTTCTTTGGGCGAAACACATGATGCCATCGCGCAAGATCATGGTCGCGCTGTGTTTAGCACGGCAAGTCATCGGGTGAACCGTACAGGGGTCGATGAATGCTATCCGTTCAGGGCTGAATGTGATGGAACCGCCGAACCGTTCAGGGTTCAATGCAGTCGGCACTCCTACCGTAGACGGCATGTTGAACGGAAAACCGTGTAGAAACACATTCGTGCAATTCTCCTTCGTTTTCGATTTCGGCTCCTCCTTTCTATGTTTGCAGCCACATTTGCAGTTAAGGAATGACTGACTTCGTCCAGGTCCTTGGCGTACCCCGCTTGCCACACAAGCGGACAAAAGACAGGTATATGGATCAAGCGTCCTCGACCCACCCACACCCACCCACACACACCCACACACACCCACACACCCACACACCCACACCCACACCCACACACCCACACTCCCATACACCCGCCCACCCACCCACCCACCCACCCACCCACACCCACACACACCCACACACACCCACACACACCCACACACACCCACACACACCCACACACACACACACACACACACACACACACACACGTTCGAGGCCCTAACAGCCTAGCGGGCATTAACGCTCGCGAAAAACAAAGTTGGAGGGCGAACATGGTCTTTCAGAGGCTCGGGCGCGCAGCCTGAGGTCCAAGTCCTCTCCTCCGGTCCGCTTCGCTTTGTCTCCGCCGGTACCTTGCGAAGGCCGAGTGACGTTTGGAGCTGCGATGTGCAGTGATGTTCGCTTTCACTCCTGCAGGCGGAGGCTTGCGCATTTTGGAGAAGGCGAGTGGATGCAGCTACGCCGATGCGTGACTTTTTGTTGCTTCCCTTCTCGGTCTCGGCAGGGAGATCGGGCGGAGGTGAGCTGGGCACCCTTCCAGCCCGACGCCGCCTCCCAGGCCAGGGATAGTGGCGCGACGCTAACGCGGCAGAGCGGCCCTTCGCAGGCTCAGCTCCCAAACCTTTCCCGGCTGCCCATCGAGTGCCCTTGAAGGCCTCAATGCGTGTAGGGGTGTTTTGACTTTGAAGGTACACGCTGAGCATCTTTGCCGACGACGAGGGCGCCGCCAGCGACAGTGCGGAGACGCGCCGTGAGACGCGCCTGGTGTCCTCGCTGTCGACCACGTCGACGGTGTGCAGCGTGTCGAACCTCCGGCCTCTCAGCGCCTACTCCGCGAGCCTCAGTGCCAGCAGCCCAGCTTAATGCAGAAACGGCTTGCGGCGCTTGAAGCTGCTCCAGAGAGACGCCACCTCCGGATGTCACTTTGAGGCACGCTGGTCACGTTTCGGCAACGTGGAAAGCGGCAGCAGGGCACCCAAGAGAGGAGCAGAGGACGGTCTGACAGGGTTTCTTTTGTCTGCAGGCACGGCTGCTCGCGCTGCTCGGCTTTTTGCCGCTTTCGCCACCACCGGCCTGGGGCCTGGGCCCGGCTGAGCCCACGAATTCCCGCCGTCCGCCGCCGTCCCGCGCTGACAGGGCTGAAGGGCAGCAAGCTGACGGCCGAGTTGCATCCTGAGAGCGGCGAATCTCTGCTGTCCGCATCTGTCCGCGGCTGGTCACCGCTGGCAGTGCTGGCAGGCTCTCGGTGCGCCTGCCCGCGGGCTCCAACGATTTCCACAAGGTGGGGGCGCCCACCAGGGCATCCATCCCAATGGAAGGCCCGGCTTGGGGTCAGGCAGTCAGGCCACAAAGCCGGCGGTGCATGTCAGGAACCGGCGTCCCGGCGGCCGTTACTCTGGACCTCGACCCGTCTGACGCCTGTGACGAGAGAGTCGCATGCAGCGACCATCCCAGCCCCGGTTCAGCAGCTCAGGTACTATGCACAACCTCGCTTGAACCACTACAAGCCTGAGTTTGCCTGAACCTTAGACGGTGGTCTTCGCACGAGGCGGGCATTTGCTGAGAGCATGCGCGCCGGAGTATCGCAAGGTTCGCAAGCCCTCCTTGCCCAGCTCACGGCGAACGCAGGCGCAGGCGGCGCAGGTTGGAGCTTTCTCTGCACATCCAGGCTCTGGACTCGACTGCTGTCAGGACGACTCGCCGGAAGAGCGGCCCCTATCTCCCAAGCAGCCCACGCTGCTTTGACCTGAGACCCCTAGGCGATGTCCCATGTCAGGGTGGAACCGGGATTTCCCATTTAAGGCCGCGCGTGCTGGTCCCCATGCCGCCGCCGAAGTTCACAACCAGGGACCCGCTGTCCTTCGCCCTCCGTCCGGACCCCAAGTCCCCTTTTTTGTGCCTTCTGCCGCTTCTGCCTCTGACCTCTCAGTTCAGCCGAAGCCCCCACGACCGACGGCGACTCCGCGCAGTGCCCGGGGAGCTGCCAGCAGCTCGGCCTTCCGCGCAGAGCAGTGCTGAGCGCGGCTGTGGCGCCGCTTCGCTGCTGCCGAAGACCGGCGGATACTGGCGGGGCGGCGTTCCCGGAACGGCTATTCGCGGCCGCTGAAGGCGGCCGTAATGCAGCCGCGTTTGAACCACTTCCAAAGACGAAGAGGAACAGAGGCAAAGACAGGAACGAGGAACGAGAAGAAGGACTGAGTAGAGCTCTGAGCTCAGAATGCTGCAGTGCTATTATATGCTGCTATTATATGCTGCTATGCTGCGCTCAGTGCCAGAGAACGTTGTATAGATCCGGGCCGCAGCCGTGCAGCCGTGCAGCCGTCTGTGAGCAGTGCCAGAGAAGAGTTGCTGCCATGGGAAACGCCGGGGCCTGCTGTGCCTCCAGCACCGTGTCGGCCCCAGAAGACCCGATCTCGTCACGATACGACACGGTCGGACCGCTGACACTCAGCTTCGCTCCGCTGAGTCCACGGAGAAGCCGGAGGTGGCCGTGGCCACGCCGGGCCCAGCGGGCCCAGCGGGTCAGCCGGCGCCGCCAGAGCCGCAGAGCGGCGCTCCGACGGAGGAGCGGGGGCCGTAAAGGGGGCGGCGCTTGGCGGCGCTTCCACGGCCCCCCCCCCCCCGCGGCGCAGGGACTCTGCTGCGCAACTCTTCGACTCTGCCTTCTGCCAGGAGCAAACGAAGTCCGCCTCCGCCTCCGCGACGGACCCGGCTGGGCCCAAGAGGGTGGTGCACGCCCGAGCGACGCCCGAGCGAGCGACGAGAGAGAGAGAGAGAGATTGATTGATTGACTTTTGCATCGGCATGCGTACAGAGCGAAAGAGAGCAAGGCATCATTTACCGTTTACTTTTCAAGGGGCCTCAGAGATGGTCGGACAAAAGAGGGCCTACGGTAGGTGAGATCTTTCTTAAAAGTGCTGGTCGGACAAAAGAGGGCCTACGGTAGGTGAGATCTTTCTTAAAAGTGCGCCGGTTTTTGCTGACAGCTTCACGGCTCTCCTGGCCGGCCTTTCTGGGCTCGACAGCGAGAGCGAAAGCCCACTCTAGCGGCCGCAAAAGCCCCCCCCGGGCCCCCCCCCACTGAATCATCATTGCATCATCGCTTTCGTCCCGTCCGTCCTGTCCCCCGCCCGTCGCCCCGTCCGTACACCGTCATGAAGCAGTCGTGGCTTCGCTCTGCTGGCCGCATGTTGGGCGGCCACATCAGCTGCGGCCGATGGCGCAGCCGAAGTTTGCATATCCAGGGCCTCATCCAAAAGCGCCTCGACTCCCAAAAAGCGGTGCTGACCGACGAGGCCAACTTCGGCATGAACACAATGAGAAAACCAAAGCCTCGAAGAATTTGCGCAGAAAGCAGAAAGGCTTCAGGCGCTGTCGCCGCTGTTGTGCTTGATCCTTTCTCTGACAGCTGCACGCAGCTGCAACCTTGATCAACCCCGTGCCCAGCATCCCAGCTTCCTCGCCCGAAGCCGCGAAACGAAGCCTCCGGCCCTTGCCCTCCACAGGCTTCGGAGCAGTTGCATCTTGAAGGGAGTCCGGAGCTCCGCTGATGACACAGAGAGGACCTCCTTTTTCGCACAAGAGCTATGCCATCATCTCGTGACTGAGATCGCGCAGCAGCAGATGGGTACCGGAAGTTCTTAGTCTTGAAGGGAAAGCATTAAATCCCTCGCCGCTTCTTCAGTGCCTTTTTGGTGGCATGATCTCAGGTACACCAAGATGAGAATGATTGCCAGAATCTTTGGACGGCTGGAACATGACCTTACCGAGCGCCTTGAAACAGGCCGCCTGCAGCATACGCAGCAGCTTTGCGACTCGCATGGTAGACCGATGCGCTTCTCTTGGCCACGTCAACGCAAGTGGGGGCCCCAACGGTGCAGGCACAGGTGTTACACGGCCTTCGTGCAAATCGGAGCGAGAAAGCGGTCCCGGGACCCTGCAGCGACACAGGAGGTCATCATGCGGAGCTTTTTGCGATGGATGCGCATGTGATGGTGATCTCTGAGGACGATCCTGAAGCTGTGACCTTCGATGGGATGGCGTCATGAACTTCTTCCGCCGCTTCGGCCATGCATGCATGGCCCGAGAGTTCCTCGCGGCGAACGGAGGTGCATTCGTCGAGATCGAGAACAACCTGAGGATGGGGATCACAAGATCTTTGATGCCAAGATGAAAGGGCGGACCTGAACGATACCGGCCTGTCAAGGATCGATCTCGCACTTTGCCAAACGTCGAGCACTCCACCCTCCAGCCAGCAGATGCAAAGTTTCGCTGCGGCTGAAGCGACACTTGCCAAGTTGGACTTGGACCCTGTTGTTCAGAAGGAAGGCTACTCGCGAAAGCTGCAGAGCAAAGCAGGCGAGTACTTGATCTTGGTCAAGACCGGCCTGGCGAACCCTCCTCCAAAAAGGTTGACGATGTCTGGCATGCGGGACATGAAGAAGCTTTTCGGGGGCATTTCCTCCATGAGCCAGCCTGCTGCTAGATCAGGTATGAAGAAGTTTCAAGCTTGTGCTCAGAACACTTCAAAGAACGCTGCTGACTAGTAGGATGCTGCAACACGAAGGCCCCAAGACTACAGGGCTCTGCAGTATGGAGGTCTGGATTCTTGGGAAGAGCTTTCGAGGAAAATGCAGTGCTCGGAAATTTAGCCACCCATCGCGTACCCGGCATTCGCCCTTCCAGCCGTTGAAGCAAAGTACTATATCCAATCAAACCATTTTTAGGTGCTGCGCTTCGTGCTGCCAGATGGCGGCACGCAGGACATCGAGTTCGAGAACAAGCGACGCGGAACGCAGAGAGACAGAGAGAGAGAGAGAGATACAGTAGCGAGCGAGCGAGCGAGAGATACAGTACACCGACGGGCTCCCTGCTATAGTGCGAGAGAACCATTTTGGTTTTGGTGTGTCGAGGCCTCTGGGGATCGACTTCAGCCGAAGTCTGCCGCTCACGTGCAAGCGCTTGAAGCCCGGCATGCAAGGCGAACAGAAAGAGGTGCGACTTTTCCGAGGTAGAGCCGTGCGCTTTGAAGGATTCCCCGCACCGCAGCAGGTGAAGATCGGCTGGTGTGTTACGCACATCAACGACACGCCCGTCCCCGTCACTGGGAGGGGAACCGATCTTGCTCGAGGCTTAAGTTGCGGTACCTGGATCCTCACTTTGAGGTGACCTTCGAGGAAACGCTCAAAAACCTACAGCAGGCCCTGCAGCGCCAGCCTGCTTTACGTGCATGCTTGGTATTGGCATAGCATATGTATATACATATATATATCTCTCTCTCTCTCATACAGGCCCGCTCCCTCTTCTGCCCTGGCGTAGGCTGTGTCGGTGCTTCCATCAGCATGAGACGGAGGTGTAGTGAACTCTGCCGCAGGGTAGCCGAAGTCTCGCTTCCACGGGCGGCTCTTAACTGTCACGAAGTGACCTTGCGGAATACTTGCTCTTTCGGCCTCCTGATGGAGGCCGAGCACTGGACTCTGAGACTTGAACTTTAGCCGCCAAAGAAAGTCGGAGACTGTCTGGCATGCAAAGTAAAGACGTCCACCATCACTCTTGAACTTGCTCACAACCCTTGCATGTCGGCCCGCGCAATTCGAGAGAGGTGGCACATAAACATGTTCAGCCTTATCAGCCTGCAAGATGTTGTAATGCTGCAGCTGCATCATGAAGCAATGTAGCTAAGCTGAGAAGCTGTTCGGTGTGTTCGGTGTGTGTTTCTAATTCGAGCTCGATCTCCCTGCGGGCGGCGGGCGACGGGAGTTCGTCGCTCCAATGCCCGGGTCAGCCTGCGGCCGCCGGACTGGCCAAAGGCCGCAGCCGGCAGAGGCGCCGCCAACACGGAGTAGAGCAGCAGAGCCACAGCAGAGCGCCGGAGCATAGCCGCTGTAAGCGCTCAGACTTTCGCTGTGCCCGCCGTGCCCGCTGCGGAGGCGAACTGATGAGCCTGCTCCCCGCGAGCGCGAGTGGCGCTCAGCGGGCTGGCCCCGGCCCTAAGCGGGTCTTCAAACGGACGCAGCGCGGAGCTCAGCCAAAGCGACGAGTGCAAAAAGGCCCGGGACCGGTCCGCTCTCTGAGGCTCTGTACGTTTTGGGTGCGCGGCGCGTGCAAGCGCGGCTCGGCCTGTGCCTTTGCCCACGGCGAGGCGTCGGGCCGGGACCCCGAAAACCTCGGCCCGCGGGGCTCCGCTTCCCTCTGGTGCCAGGCGCAGCTGCGAGACAGCCCCGATTTGTCAAAGACAAAGCCTCCTGGCAGAGAGACGAAGCAGAGACAGCGGGCCGAAGCAGAGAGCTGCGCAAGCGGCCCTCAGGATTTGCAAGCAGTTTCAGACCGGGACCTGTCCGCTCTCTGGGCCGCAAACAGCTCATGTGCACATCCGTTGTCTATCTGAGTCTGTCTATCTGCCTGCCAATACCTGCGTGCGTGCATAATCCGTAATATAACTATACACACTTATAATATATTTATAGCCTATAGAGGTTCTTATCTGGTTCCTTTTTGTGGGATGGGTTGGTAAACCATTCTTTCTGGTTTGGGAGTTCAAGAACAGGTTTTGTGTTTCCCAAACAAGCTTCAGTATATCATCAAGAAAATCCAAAAAACCAAGAATATAAATCAGAAAGATATCGAAATACACGAATTGATGACAAGATGGTGGAATCATGTGACAGGAGAGACGTGCATGTCTCGTCTGAACTTGTGCTTGTGATCTAGAGAGCTTATAGTCAGTACGCTCCATGCAAAGCTTCTTCTCAAGGCCCTTAGCTAGTTGCTGGTGTTGGCCAGTGGTGACGTTGGGGCCCGAGGGCTCGGGCCCCTTAGGGCGAAGCAGCCGGAGTGATGATGGTCCCCCGCCCCAATGAGTCCCGTGGCTATGCAATTGGGCGGATTACCAAGTTTTTCCCTTGTGAGGATACAGTGCGAGGATGAGTTGTACAGGTGGTACATGCAGCACGAGGATGAGCCCGGAGGCCTCCCAAAGCATTTTTCCATCACCTTTGCCGCCGGTTTTGTCGACTTGCACCCGCAAGGAGGGGAGAATGATGATTCATGTGCAAAAGTGGAGCGCCATCACTGAATCACTCAGGCAGATGCTCACCGGCTGCTTGTCCCATGGGGCTACACGGGATTAGCTGATATGGGGCGAAAGGCACCCTTAAAACCGAGGATCCCGAGGACGATGTCGAAGAGGTGGACCCAGCACCAAGGAGGCGTACCAAGACCTCTGCAGCCAGTCAGGAGAAGACGGGGGCCAAGCGCAACGATGCTGCGAAGGTTCTTGCAGCGAAGGCCCAGGCTGCAGCATCCAGTGAGTGGCCTGAAAAGCGAGCCCGCTCACAGGACGTGGTTCAGGCGCTGCAGAAGGTGCTACACCCTCGATGCCGAGAGCGGGACCCGGACATGGAGGATGACTCCTGCAACGATGGCCCCGAGGACGATGAGGCACTGGGGGAGGGCAGTGAAAGCACCAGCTTGGTGGCCAAGAACAAGCAGCTCAGGATAACCCGCGTCAGCTGCTGTGCAATGCCCCGGTGGTTAACCGTTACCTCTTGTCGGTGCTGCTCCCCAGCTATCCAGCCAGGCAGCAGTCTGAGAATCGATTTCGTGAGATGCGTACTGCGGCGCTTGGGCTTAGTGCCGGCTCTGCATGCAACGTCTCAAGTCATTGCTCCTTCCCGACGACTTGGTCGGTGGTGGTGCGACCCAAGCAGAAACGGAATATGCGAGGACTATGGCACTTTGGAATGGGGTCTGGAGCGGGAGAAGATGGGTGGAAAGAAGTGGACAAGTGGACCGACAGCCAAACGGAGTCTTGAGTCCAGACCCCCGATCTCGGTGCTACACTCAAACGGAGGAGTCCTCAATCCAGACCCCGGATCTCATCGCGAGAAGGAGGGTCTGGACTGGAGCGGTAGAAGGCCCATTCCGGACAAACGACTGGAAAAGAAGCAGGCCTATAGCCAAACAGAGTTTTGAGTCCAGGCCCCTGATCTCGGCGCGAGAAGGGGCCCATTCAGATCGAGCGGTGGAAACACGCGGAGTCACAGCCGAACGGAGTCTCGAGTCAAGACCCCCGATCTAGTCTAATCCCTTTCTCGACAAAGGTGGTGATGCAGCGTTGATACGATTTCCGCCGTTTCCTCAGCACTCGTTGCCTGCGCTGAAGCTGAAAAGACCCACAAGAGTGCAATGGCTAGCCATGGAATTTCCTCGTGTGCCTCTCCCTTTTCACTGAAACCCGATGCTGCCAAGCTGCTGTTCTGAGCGCATTGAGTCTACATATTTACATCTGCTACGATCAAGGGTTTGTCCGGACTGCCTGCGATAAAAGGCTTTTCGCTATGAGCCTACGATCAAAGGCTGCGATTGTACAGCGTGAAGCATAGACACGATCCAGCTGCAGAGGTCGACCCGCATCTAAGGGTTTGTAATTTTGGCTTCATGCCTTGCTGAGCGGAAGAGGTGTGGCTCGATGCACAGTCAGTGCATGTGGTACTTTTCAATTCCCTTTTCCCACACTGATGTGTGATTTACCGCGTACATGCGTGCATTAGTTTCTGAAGTTTTGGTGGGCTTCTTGTCAAGTTTGTTCCTGGCTGCTCAAGACCGACTTCTCGTCAGGTCCAGCAAAAAGCCGTCAGTGCATAGGGTTGCCCTGACTTTGTCTTCTCGTTGCGCAGTTAACCTAACGGCAACAAAGACCGATCCTCGTGCTCTTGCTTTTGCTTGTGCATTGCTTCGATCTACGATTGGTTGCCCAGGGTTTTGTGACCGAGAGTTAAGTGGATTCCTCTGCTTTTCACATTTTCATGGTAAAAAGATGGTTTTGGACAGAAACTTGAACGGTTGTGTGGCACATTCTCTTGAAATGTGGGTTTGGTTTTGCAGCCTTGAGAAATACATTTTTTGCACGTGCACGAAAAGCTGGTTTAACACGGTTTTTGCGATACAGACGACCGTCGGTAGTTCATGGGGGGTTTACTAGAAATAGCTATGTGTATGTGTATATATATATATATATACATATATATATAAGTATAAACAAAAAGAGCAACAGAGAGAGAGAGAGAGAGAGAGAGAGAGAGGGATTCTATTTCGGTCACAAGCCGTCCTACTTTCACACCCGCCCGGGGGGGCCTCACTCGCCCCTTATGCTTCGGATAAAAAGAGATCTTACATGGTCAATATATGGGAAAAGATATCTGATGTCAGAAATTTTGGAATGGCTGTGAATCTCGCTCAGGCTGGGGGAGGAGTGCACCTTCGCCCACTGCCGGGAGGAGCTCCGGTCCTTGAGACCCAAGCGACATCCGCACGGGCCCGGGCCGCACGGGGCCGGCGGGGCGCTCCAAAGCGCCGCCGCCGCGGCCCCAAGCGCCAGCACTTCCGCCCGCGCCCCAAAAGCCCAGCCAAGGAGTGGGAGCGTAGGCTGCGATTGTGGGAGGCATCCAACTCCAATCTTCTCATGACAGTGCCGAAGACCAGGTTTCCGGGCAAGGCTGACGGGCGCAAGACATGCAAGCGACCTTTGCGCCCACAGGGTCAAAGCCGAGAGCTTTGCCTTAGTTTCGCCCAGTGCAGGAGGACGGTACCCCGGAGGTAACGGAGGACTCCGAGGCCTCCGAGGCCGCCCGCCGGGTGTTGTCTTGTGGCTGTTGTCGGTGCGCCGTCCGAGACAGCACAAGCCACCAGAATCAGTGAAAGTTTGTCTTAAGCGGCGTTGCCCATTCCAGGCTGAGCCGTCTTTCACCGTAGTGGAGTTCGAGCCGCTTCGGCTGAGCTGGCACTCCACGCCGCTCTGCTAGCACTGCTAGCTGTTATCGCTGCTAGGTCTGTGGAGCAAGTCTGCGGGTATCTCCTGGAGGCCGGCTCTGCTTTGTTCTGCTCTTGCTGCAACAGCACGACGGACGACGGACGACGTTGTCTCAGGAGGACACGCTTCCCTCGCTCCGAACGCGGAACCTGCTCTTCGAGCTTTAGTTGTCGTCTCACGACGCGACACGAGCGTCTTGCTCTTTGAATGTTCTCTCACTCCTGGCTCCTGTCCGCCACAATACGTGGTGACGCTTACGCGGCCCGCACTCCCGAGACCTTCGGGAAATCCTTGTTTCTCGTCCTGGTATGACGGTTCAGAGTATGTGCCAGTGTCTACGGGCAGGTATCATCAGCTGGCATCTCGGGTGGCCAAACGGCTTTGGGTGAATTGGCGCCGCTACATTCCAATGGTCTCATCTTGGGTGCCGACAGACCCTCGTGGGTCTCGCCACCCAAATCACGAATGTTCTGAGGATACACGCCGCGAGCCACAGGCGGCAGTGAGAAAAGAAGCAGCTGCGAGTCTGCGAGTTCTGAGCGGGGAGAAACAAAACGGTCCTGCAAATCGCTGCAACTCCCTGACGCTGGCGCTCAAGACCACATGGCAATGGCTTGACAGGAGGAAGAATGAAGGGTGTACACAGTGTACACGGAGAGACATACAATGTCTTTGGCCGGAGTGTTTCTGCAGGGTTTCCGCAGGGTTTTTACTGGAGAAAAATAAAACGCAGCTTCACGCGCGGCCTTTCTCGGCTCGGTGCCATGGCGGAGGTGACCCGCCCTGCGCCCGCGCCAGCGCGGGTGCGCGTCACCGGCGTCGTCAAGAAGAGCGAGCCGAACACACAGGCCAAGTCACTGCCCAGTCGGCCCAGTCCCAGTGGAAGCCATCTCGGGCGTGTTCTTGTGCCGACTTGGTCGGGGTCCAGAAATGTCGTCGTCCTTGTCTTTGCTATGCTGGGCCCAAAAAGGGCGAAAGAATTTCAGAAGGCCAAGAGGACAGAGGTCACGTGTGCAGTGTCAAGCAAGGCTCTGGTGACTCTACAAGTCTGTTTGCATCATTTTTTTTGAATTTCATGAGAACGAGGCCTCGGACTCTTAGAGTCTTAGACAAGCGCAGCGCCTTGAGCTCGTGGCAGGCTTGGGCTCAGGGAGAGGCTTCGGCTTCTCCTTCGAAAACTGCCAAGGCCAACTTAAGGGACACAACAAGACCCGTACGACAGAGAGAGGAGGGGCGCCTGTCGTGGCTTCGCTCTCTGCTCTCTGAGGCCGGGCGCGTGGTCAGCGCGAGCAGCGAGCGGCGCGCCTCAGGAGAGCGCGGCGAGGCCGGGGCCATTCCAAACACGAAGACCGCACGCCGCACCCGCAACGTCGGCGCCAGGCGCGCGTCGGCCAGGCCAGGTGGGGCCGCGCGGGTATACAGCGGGTGAGGGCGGACAGGTTTTTGAGGGCCTATGGGCCCATGCCGACGCCAGGTGCTCGCAGCCTCGCCGACTCGGCGCTCGGTGGCCAAGGCGAGGCAGACAGCGACACCGGTCCGGCAAATCTGTCTGGCTTCAACGGAGGTCCTGGAAACCGCCACCAGGGAGCCCAGCCCCGTCGCACAGCCTGTGCAGCGCGGGCCCCGTCTGAAGATCTCAGTCAGGCGGACGGAAACGGCGGCCTTTGGCCTCTGCAGCCCATATCTGAGGCCGGAGGCCTCGGAAGCGCGAAAGAGGCGCCGCAGGCCCCGGGCCGCATGACAACAGCACGCAGACGTCACTCCGAGGCCCATCTCAGCGCACCGGCCGGTGATCGTTCGCTCGCGGTCCAAGTCAAAGGAGCTGCAGCCGGAGGAGGCCGCAAAGCAAAGCGATGCAAAGCGCAAAGCCCCCGACTGTAGCACCCATCACTGCACGGATCTCCTTACTGCAGGCCCAGAGCAGGACCGTCGTGGCGCAGGCGGCTGCGGCACCCGCGGCCGTTCGCACCCAGGCGGTGCCTGGGACCCAGGCGCGGGAGGCGCAGGAGGCGCACTCTGCCGAGCTCCTCGCGTCGCTCCGCGCCGAGAACGCACGGCTCCGCTCCGAGAGCCTCGAGGACACTCCGGAAGAGCCGAGTCGCACTTGTTTTTCAACACGCCTTCGCTCTCACTTACTCTATAGGTGAGTGTGCTTCAGTGATCAGTGCTGTTGTCTCTTGCTGCTTCTCTGCCTCGGCTGCTGTCACACGCTTCATGTTCATGGTTAAAATCCGCTTCCCCTCTCACATGCTGCAAGATCGTGCATGCACTCGCGGGCGTCCTCAAACACTTACCAAGACGTGTGTTTTGTCCCGCGCAGGTTAACCTTTAAAATGCAGTTTTTAAGCCCAAATAAGGGACTGCAAAAATGCGGTTGTCGTAATATCAGACGGCCGTGCCCATTTTGCTGGCGCGAGAACACCGATTATATATGCCATGCCAAGACAAAACCTGCATATTGTGTCCCACACGAAGCGCATTTCCAAAAGCCGACAGCTTCGAACAAGCCCGCACGCGCACGCTCGCACACGCGCACGCACACGCACACGCACACGCACACGCACACACACACACACACCCACACCCACACCCACACCCACACCCACACCCACCCACACCCACACCCACACCCACACCCCCACCCCCACCCGCACCCGCACCCGCACCCGCACCCGCACCCGCACCTGCGCACGCACGCACGCACCCGCACACACACACACACACACAAACACACACACACACACACGCACGCACGCACGCACGCACGCACACGCACACGCACACGCACACGCACACGCAGACGCACACACACACGCACACGCAGACAGACACACACACACACACAGACAGACACACACACACACAGAGAGAGACACAGACACACACACACACAGACAAACACACACACACACACCCACGCACACACACACACACACACACACACACACACACACACACACCCGCGCACACACACACACACACACACACACACACACACACACACACACACACACACACACACACACACACACACACACACACACACACACACACACACACACACACACCCTCGCACGCACGCACGCACTCCACGCACGCACTTGCACGCACGCACTCGCACCACGCAATCGCACGCAATCGCACGCACGCAATCGCATGCACGCAATGGCACGCACGCAATCGCAGGCACGCAATCAATCGCACGCAATCCATCGCACGCATAATCGATCGCATGCAATCGCACGCACGCACGCAATCGCATGCACGCAACCGCCAATCGCACGCACGCAATCGTACACGCACGCAATATACGCACGCAATCGCACGCACGCAATCGCACGCACGCAATCGCACACACGCCATCGCAGGCACGCAATCAATCGCACGCAATCGCACGCACGCACACACGCACCCACACAATCACACACAATGACACTCACACACACACACACACATGGAAATCCGGTCTCTGCCGGTTGTCTTGTAGTCCTGTCGCTTCTTCTTGTCTTTATCTCTTGTCTTCATCTCTGAAAAATTGCTTCTCATCTAGATTTCTTGAGTTTTGATAATAAGGCCTCAGAAAACTTCTTTGGTTCCAGATTCATCTCAAAGATGTGCATACATTAGATGAGCGATACACTTGAAGGTTTTTGCGAACGGACTGCGATGCCTAGTCAAGTTCTATGGTGTCACGATAAGAGCTGTGAGCAATGTGATGTACAGAACAAGAGAGAAGGCACGCTACGCGTCCTTCGTCTCTAGGTTGAGGATTGTGGAAGTGCTACGCACACCGCAATGCCAAACCTTCCTGTATGCTTTCCGCCCACGCAACTTTGGCTCAAGTGTGAGTGCATGCTCTAGAAAGCATTGCCCATAGCTAAAAGCTATTCGTCTTCTGTGACCTTCCGAGGAACAGAGCCATCCCGTGCACAGACGATCCATCGCTGGCCGCGAGAGTGCAAAACAAGCGAGCTCCGGATCTGCCTGCAAGGGAAGCGTGGCTTGTGTGAGAGACTGAGAAGGGGAAAGAGAGAGTGATCGAGTTCGTAGAGGGCAACCACGCCATTATTCAATATAGCTCTGTGGGGTGAGCAACAAGGGCAACATCAAGATCAAATCCCCACGCAGGTTATCAGCCGTACGCGGCTCTGCCTTTCTACAACGAGAACTACTTGATCTACCACTTCCAAAATGAACTCGGGATCAAGTCAGGATACGACAATGACTTTCGGTGCCGACGTGGCAGCGCCGGCAGTCGGTGACTCGACTGCAGATGGCACTGTGGTGCAATCCGTTGACAGCTCCACAGAGGATGACAAAGGTCAATCATCAGCGCTTGCCATCGCAAAGGCAGTTCCCAAAGCAAAAGCGAAGAATTCACCAAGAGCATCTACGCCATTGCGTCCAACATCCTCAGGATCAAGGACTGGCAAAGGTACAGAACGACGATCCGAAGCGTCTGGTTTTCAGGTGCCAAGGACTCCGTCGAGAACAAAGGACAGAGGAGTAATAACAATGGAGAAGAAGTCTAAACCAGCATCTTCAAGAAGCTCTTCGGCACGATCTAGAACTTCAGCTACCAGGGGGCGAGACAGATCCATGACATGGAGGAAGATGGTTACCAACCATCCCCACGAGGCTGACGATGCGGACATGACCCTTGATACCATACCGGTGCAAGGTGACACTTCATCGGCTGCCACCCCGGCCATAGCCGACGGTTCGATTGTCTATCAGGAAATGCGACAACAGCTTGAAGCTTCGAACCTTGCCCAGCAGATGTACTACAGAAGCCAAGTGCAAGAGTACGAGGGTGTCGTGAAAACCCTGATGGAGAAGATCAAGGAGATGCAACAAGAAGATGAAGGATCTGGACTTCGCATTGAAGAATTGGCACGACAACGTGATCACGCATGCATGGCCATGCGGCACATCAACAATGTCAATCTGGAAATGAAACGAGACTATGAAGTAGCGTTGTTCCGAATGGATGAACAGAGCTCCGCTCAACAGCGTCGAGGGCATGCCGTTGCCGAAGAACTTGCTCAACAGCTTCACATGTTGCGAACAGAGGCAGCCACAAACTTTGTGCAGCTGGAAAGTCGAGCTCAAGGCGACGGAGAACTCATGGCACGCGAGTACGAGCATCTGACACATGAGCTTCATG